CTCAGAGAAATGGAATCAGAAAACATTTGTATGTTCCTGGAAATGCTGCCAAACAACTGAAGGTGGCTGTGGATCTGGGGAGGCTGACTCTGGTGACAATGAGTAGCTCCACAAATGGAGACAGCTCTCCAGGCAACCTGCACCAGTGTTGAACTATCCTTAGAAAAAACAAAGGGGCTTCTTCTGCCTGAGCAGAATTCCCTGTTCCAGTTCATGCACACATGAACTTACTATTCATGTGTGAGTAGAAGAGTATATTCGTAAGAGTATACTCTCTTTTACTATCACTGAGCACCACTGGGAAGAATATGTCTCCAACGTGTTTTCTCTCCCCCTCAGGTATTTGTGAACACAGACAAGATCTCCCTGAGCTGTCTTTTCTCCAGGATGAACAGTCCCAGCTCTCACACTCTCCTTGTTTGACAGATGCTCCAGATTGCTTCATCTTCTTCATAGAGCTTCACTGCACTCACTCTAACGTGTCCATGACTGTTTTTGAACAGGGGAGCCCAATGCTGGACCCAGTAGCCCAGGTGTGGCCTCACCAGTGCTGAGCAGAGGATCATTGCCCCCTGAGCTGCTGGCAATGCTCTGAAGGCTGCCCAGGATGCCACTGGCCTTCTGTACTCTAAGGGCACATTGCTATTTCATGTTCAACTTGTTGCCACCGCCAGGTCCTTTTCTACAAAGCTGTTTTTCCAGCTGTTTTCCACACCCCAGCTGGTTCATGGGGTTGTTCCTGCAGCAGGAGGTGCAGGATTTGGCATTTCCCTCTGTAAGATTTCTGTTGGTGCCCATTTCTCCAGCCTTGTGGAGGTCACCAATTCTACAACACCCAACAAAACCAATCTTTGCTAAACCATGGACAGAAATATGGTAGACAATCAGCAACTCACCCCCTTACAGTTGAAGAGCAACCCCTGAAACTTGAAGTTACAGGAAAAGGGGATTGTATAGCACTCAATTCTACATAATTTGATGCAGAAACGAAGTAGTGACTTTTCACACCAAGTCAATGCCTATGTCTGCTGCATCCTGGCTTGACAGAACTACTGAGACAGCAGCACCTGCTGAGGCTGAGCAGCGAAGCATGAGGTGTGTTGCCTGCACAAGGTGTGTTGCTAAGTCCAGCTCTGCTGTACTTCCTTGCCTTCCCATTCCAGAACCACCTGTGGTAACCATATCTCCTTTTTTGTGTCAGAACTAAAAAAGTGTTCCACAGAGCACATCTTGCCTTTTTTTTTTTTAATTTTCAAGCTCAATGTACATTAAGCCTGGCACATAACTTCCATGTGTGCAACCCAGTGTGGCTGCCTTCTGATTTCCTAGGCTGGGATGAAAGCATGGATCAGCACTCAGGATGGCAGCCAGTAGTTTCTGTCTCAGTAGGAATCACTAGTTCAAATGAAAAGTAAAATACAAAGATTTATCTGGAAGACTTTGCTACTAAGGTGGCATTTGTTTGGCAGTTCAAGCAGTAAAATCCACTGAGAAAATCACTCTAGCAAATCTATCACTTCAATGTCCACTGTCTGAATCAACAAGTCTCTCCAACACTTACTTGCCACAGCTTCAAAGTAAGAATTCTCCCTCAGCACCAGCACAAGTCATCCCAGAGGAGATGGACGCATTCTCAGTATGCAGGAAGGACACAGACCCCAGCAAACAAAGAAATGAAGAAAATATCACAGAAACACCTTAAACCCAGCAACAACTGTAAATATTAAAAGATAGAGCATACATTTTTGAATTTATTGTATAATTATAGTTTTGAACACATACCTAGATAATCCTCCTCTAATTTGCTTTATTGAGTGGGACAAAATGTAAAACTCCAGTCTACTGAAATGCTTCAAAATGCTGAGTCTATTGTATCTCTGGAAACAGGTGCAATTCTTAGGAGCAGGGAGCTGCCATCTACCACAAGTGATGCAGCTCCCAAGAATACAAAGCACTGAATCACTAGAGATGAAAAGGTGACTGTAACAAGAGAGGGAAAATGACTATGAATTTTACACACCCCATTTCTAAAGGAGAACAAGATCCTTGAGTAAGAGACTTTGTAGGTCAGGCGAGCCACAGACATCATGAATCCCAAGAAGTTCCACTTAGGAGAAAGGCCTTCTCCCCCACAGAGCCTGTTTAACTGCCCACCTTTGTTCCCATCACAAAGTACATCCTGCTGCCCTCCTGAAGGAGAGGCACCAGCTGCCTCCCACCCCAAACAGGGCTGGTTTGTGGGGGCTGTGAGCCACTGCTGTGCAGAGCTAGCTCCACCCCATGCTGACACCCTAAACCTGAGCTAAGTACACCGGAGTCGGAGACAAAAGAGCAAAAGTGACCAAGATTTCTTGTGTGAGCCACAGCCCATGAACTGTGGGTTCCTGGAAAACACCCCAACCTTGGAGGTGACAGGCTGGACCTGCAGAATCTCACTCTCTTCTACCTGGGCTGACATCTCAAGCTGCACAGAGTGTGCTTATGATTTTGTTTTGGAGGACATTAGACACATTTCATTGTGTATCAGTAACGGCACCCATGTGGATTTCTTAGATCGGTCCAGCTTTGGCATGTTTTACAACTCTAAATTGTTCCATTTATCCCTCCTTCCTCAGAGCACCCTTGGCCATGGTAGATTTACTGCTCTGCAGATGCTGTCTGCCTTCAGCAAATGGGATGTGAAGCCATCAGGCTGCAGGATGGCTTCCGCACACTACGTGCGTAACACAAGCACACAGAGCAATTTGCTCCTTACATTGATGGAATTTAGAGAAATTAGGGAGTGATTTTTATCTTTTGACTCCTTTCCCTGGCATACACCCACCCCTTCTGCCCTCCATTTTGACAAACAGTGAACTGCTCCCAAACCAGTTGTGACAAGATGCACAAAGACCTTTAATAGTCTGTCGTAAGAGAGATTGAGTATTTAGCACATTTACAACTTGTAATAATAATCGTAATAACAAAAACCATTAGAGCAGAAACTGGACCCTTTCTCCTCTTCATTGTGAGGAAAAAGGCTCAAAAATGACCAAGCTTGATGACTGGAGCCACATTCACTGGAGGGAGCGAGGCAACATTTAAGTCAAGATTTCTGCCTTCCGTTTGTCGTAAGCCAATTGTACCAACACTCAGTTTACTTTGGCTGATTGTAATACAGTGTTCCTGCCAGGACCATCACCATGACGCTATTCTGGGCACCAGCTGTACTCCTGTTCCTTCCTCCACTGTACTGCTGGTACAACTAAAGCTGCTGACCTATTCCAAGCCTTCCCCTTTCTTGGGTACTTTTCAGAGCAGGCAATGTGCAGATGTGAGGGAGCACACAGGCAGGATGGATGGCACAGCTGAGGCCAGCCAGCCTCTTTGCAGAATTTCTGTGCTTATTTGGCACAACAGCTTAGGAACTGTATTACATGTGCCACTTCCATAGGAGTTAAATTTCTACCTGATCAATTCATGTTGGGCATTGAAATATATGCAAAGATGTATATCCACGATGAGTAGAGGCTGCAGTAACCGAGCTACCGTAACCAGATGGCACCAGGCTGTTGCAGAGCTTATTCACTCAAAAGCAGAATGAAGTGTGTAACATTGCTTTCATCTATGCACCAGCAAAATCTGAAATTCAATCACTTCTTCCCTGACTTAAATGGTTGCAATCATAAAAGCTCAGCTACACCAGAACAGGAAGTTTCAATGTAAAGGTTTGTGAAGTAAAAGCGGATTAGAAAACTAAAATCTTCATGAAATCTTACTTTCTAAGGCTGCCTTTAGGATGAAAGCGTAATGAATCAGTTTCTTTGACAATAAATAACCTTTGGATGCTCAAATTGCATGTAGTTTTCTACACTGACTCTCATCATGCCCAAGAGGACACAAAACTGTGTTTAGCATGAACATTGCTACAGCCATCACTGAACATCTTTTTATTGAGGAAAATTAGCACAAAGGGTGCTGAAAATCAGTTTTGTTGTGCAAACAAACAGATCCCCAGTTTCTGTCAGAGCTGGGTGGTCCTCCAGAGTCACCTTAGAATTATGGCAACATTGCTGACAAATTTCCATGCATTTTAACACATTAAGTGGTAGAAAACTTTGTCCTAAGGGCAGAACAAGATAGACCATGCTCAAGTGAAAACTAGTTGCCTTCAACTACTCGTAGCCCAGGTTACCACGAAAGCTCAGTGGTTGAGTTTTCCATCCTGGAGATGCTCACAGTGCCCAGTGCAGGCTGGTATTCCTGTGCTGGCCTACCTTGCTGAGAGGACAGTAGTGAGGAAATAGGAGCAGTAACAGTCTAACCTGTCCAGGAGCTTACAGAACCAACAGCCTGAGGAATAATACTGCAATATTTCCCAAGATGCATATAAACCACAGCAATTGTTAATACTTCCATGCATCCATTGTAATAATTGGTCAGATATAGCTGCATAAGAGAAAAAAACAAAACAAAAAAAAGAGGGTGGTGGGGTGGTATTTGAATTATCTCCAAAATAGTCTTTCATGCAGACAGAGGATATCCCAGCTCTTCTTTCCTAGATGCAAGACCTTCTTCGAGGAAGAACTTCAAAACCCAGCTGAAGCCAAAAATAATCCCAGGACATCTCCAGATTCAAGCGCCATGAAACCAAAGCACCAACCCAAACATTGAAATCTGTATTTAGGATCAAGCCAATATCTTGTCTAATAAACTGATGAAACCAGTAATGAATAGAACCTTCAGTAAACAACATACCAGCTTTTGTGTTTCCCTTTAAAAAGTTAACCAGTCATAGTTACCTAAATAGAGAAAGACACTGCAGCCTTCAGAGATATATCTCAGGGGTTCTTGCAGCTGATACAGAGCCTCAGGTGATGGTTACAAGAGCTGTGTTGAACAGGAGAGCAAAAGGTGTTTTTTCCCAAAATTAGAAATATACAATTTCCAAAAATGGGAGCAAAAGACAAAAGGTAATGAAAAATACTGCTGAAGAAATGTTTAATTAAGAAAATCAGGAATTCAACAGTGCCTAAATCTTTATTTTTCATAACCTACATATTTTTTTTCAAATTAGACAGTTTTACATTTTATGACACAAAAGGAAACTTAAATTACTGATAGTTTACATGTAAGCTTGATTCCAGTCTTAATGGAAGAAGAACAAAAACAAAAACCCTCAAAAAGGCTCCCATATTACACTTCTATTTTGTGAATTGGCAGCTGTTAGGTCTCCTTAGAAATCTTGGATTGTCTGCTGCTATTAGTGTAATAGGTTACAAAGCACAAAACCCCTACCTGTAGCTGAAGGAGATAGAGATAGGTGTGCACCATTACAGCCAGCTGTTGCTCCTGATACACTGCACCACGTTCCAACAAGGGCCTTTCCATGCCAGCAGCTCAAGGCTTTGAAGGATAACACAGCAACACAAAAAATTTGTCACTGCTCACACATTTCTAAGTGACAGTGTCATGGGGTGGGAACTGATCTGAAATTACATTCAGTTTTGAAAGCAATGTTTTTTTTTAAATTCCTGGAAGAATCTCAGATCCCATTTTGGCTTGTTTTCAAAATGAAAAGCATCACCACACAGTTCTAACAGGGTAAAATGCCAATATTAATTACTGTATCCCTGAACCTTGAGCTCAGCTACTGTTTTTGGGAGGTTTTTCATTTTAAAAGCCATGTTTTTATCCCTCTCTGTATCATAGCAACAGTCTGCATGCAACTTCACAACTCTACTCCGAAAACTCCATTTTGTCACTGAGTGGGGTTGGGGGTAGTAAATCTCAAAGGAAAATTACAGCGAGGAGAAGTTGTATTGTATATTACACAGCGATTTGGCGTGTCACTTTTTTTTTAAAAAAAAGCTATAAAACCACATCAGAGGAAGGTTTAAACTTTAGATGCAACAGACTGTTGCTGGGTAAGCAGTAATTACAGTGTATTGACCTATCACAAATGGCAGCAGAATACATTAGAACAGCACAACACATCCCACTGGTCTCAACAGATCACCTCGGGTACCAGCTGAGCACCAGGACGAGCCACTCACAGCCGCTGGAAGGGACCACTTGCCACTGTTTGCAGCTGGTAAAGCCTTTCACTTGCAGCAGACAAACAAAATGAATCATACAGCTGGCCTAAACCATACACAAATCTAGCTACCGCTTTCACTGCCACTGGGGAAAGGAGAAGGGGATAAAAAAATCCAATGACAGAAGTAGTTGAGCAGTTTTGGTGATAGTGTCAGGGTCCTATCTCCTCCCACAGCATTTACAAAGTGCGCTTTTTAAACAGGAAAAATCAACAGACTCCACGTGCCCTATTTTGACCAATTCTGCAGCATACACAACAGGCTGGATTTACAATGCCAACTGGTTACCAATTGATGCTTGTAATAGGAAATTTATCAGGAGTCAACTTCTATAGTTACTTTACAGTTCTATGAACCATGCACTGATACTCTTGAAAGCAGACAAGCTTCAGTGTATATTTTTGCAGCAGTCAAGTTTTTTCCCAAATTAGACTTGATTTTTATTAATGACTTAAAAATTACAGTTTGACTGCTGAAATTCATTATTTACATTGCAGAACACTTTTGAATTGGTTAAATTGTTTGGTTTTAAAGGGACATTAGGAAAACATTTGAGGGCTTTCAAATAAGACTTTCGTTCCATTTCCCTTTTGCAGTGAAGAGGCAGAGTCAGTTCAACACACCAGAATAAAATAAGAAAAAGAAAAAACAACAAATTAAAGTAATATTCAAACCACAACATTTAGTTTATCTACATCCAGCTCAACAGCAACATTTATAATATCAATAATTTTTATCAGATTTTTTTCTTTAGGGTACCTTTTTATATGTTCTGATTATTTACAACTGTACAAGCAAAGCACACACTTCCAAGTGCACATATTTAATACAGTATTGACTATTTGCATTTACAGGTTTTTCAACAATCTGAAAAAGATCAACTGTTTAAGATCTTTAAGGTATATTACAAAAACTGCTGCTAGTTCCTGTACTACAGTATGTTTACCCAGTAAGACCAGTGACAATAGATACATACTGTAACTGAGTAATTCTGTATGCCATTCATGCTAACCCTCCACAGGGTCAGACCTCATTAACTCTAAACTGTCTTGTACAAAAGTTAAGGCAAAGTCATTTTCAAGTTTAAATAAAATTCAAGTCTTTAAATATTGGATGGAAATAATTCTTTAAAAAAATCAGTTGTTTAAATAAACATTTTTGTGGAATAAACTGTACTGTCATAGTCAGCAGGAATGAGTTTTGTCTGAACTTCCTGCAGTTTAAACACTTAAAGAAAAGCTTTAGGCATTTTAAAACAAAAATAATTTATATTCAACTTTATTAGAAACTTGCTAATTTAGTGCATCCTTGTCCTTCAGAAAGCGCATCACTTCTAAAGTAAATAAGTGTGAGAAACCTCATCCCAGAGGTAAATATCAGGGATCTCTTCCTCCACCACACAAAACAAACACCATTATCTCACGTCTTGAAAAATTTAAATCCATATGCCAATGCTTGTAGTTACAGGAAGTTGTCAACACAAGGCTGACTAAGATATGAACTCTTTCAAAGAGCACTTGGGGCAGAGTTTTAAAAAAAAGTCTACACAGAGCACAGGGGTAACCAGAATATACAGCGCTGACTCAGTTAACTCCCTTACAAGCACAGGGAAGCTCAGGTTATCACAAGAAGGCTACTCTGCTTTCTCCTGATAACATCCACTAACAGGCTTCACCACCATAGAAGCTCACAGACTTGATTCTTTCTATTCACAATGTGCTTTGTATTTGCAAATTATAACATCAGTTTTATTCTGGAGTGAGAAGATGGTTACTTGCTTGCAGTAAGTCAAAAAAGGAAATATTTCAGAAAGACTGCTATGGTGCCCTGTAGAATTCCTTTTGTGTGTGCAAAACATCAAAAAAAGATTAAGTTTTTAAAAATGCTAGAAACAGCTACTCATTTAACCTAAAAGTGCAAGTTCATTTGCTGACATTTAGTACAGCAGCTCAATAAAAAAAAAATCTTCAAGGTCACATACTAGTTTGTAAAATATATCTACTTTCTTGCACTCTACACACTAGCTGCCGTTATCAGTCTTTTGGACACTTTAGATATGTACTTGCAGACCAGTTTATTAAAAATATTGCAGCAGCATGTTTCTGCTTAACAGTTTAGAAAAAACTCACTATACAGAGCTTGCACTCACACAGCCACAGAGAGGCTTAATAAAAAGTTGTGTTTTTTTTAAAGACAAATATTTTACACCTTGGAAAAAAAAAAAAAAAATCACACTAAGCTTCACCTCCAATTAAGCACCAATCTAAATGTAAGGTTTAGAACAACTATCCAGAAATACCCAGAAAAATAGAATGTTTGTTCAAGAGGGGAAAAAGTATTTCACAGAAAAATAACTTGCAGGCATTGTTACATGCCTTGTATCACTGCAAGCTCCTAACCAGCAACTCATTCTCAGGTATCTTAGTGGGAACATGGGTTTAATTTGTGGGAAACAGACCTCTTCTCAAATCCCTCCCAGGTGTTATTTTCACTGAGGAGATTTTGGAGGGGTACTCTGTTCTTTATTTAAGCGTTTGCCAACAGCTGGAGGGGACGATCTGCGTCCTGACTGTCTCCTCTGGTCTTTGGGTTGTCCAGGATGTGACTTTGCAGGAGGAGGTTCTCTGTTTTTCTCTATTGTTTCTGTGGCCTTTCTTTCTTCTTTCCCACATGCTACAGTGTTTGGCTTCTGGTCTTTCTGGGGTTGCAATGTAGGAGGATCCTTAGTTGTTCTCTGGCAAATTTCCGCATAACTAGGTTTTCGCAGTTCCTGGGAAATTAGAAACAAACAGGACAGAGTTAAACAAAACATCCTGAGGAAAAAAAAAAAAATTATGAACAAAAAATGGTGAAGTCCGTGCCCCAAAAGACTACTGCACTTAAATATGCAGATGAGGGCTTTTGACTATGAAGTTTACAGAAGCTGTATAACTAACTAACTAAATAAATAAAGCTAAAGAAAAGGTAAAATGTAAAACAGCACATCAGAAAAATGGGGTACTGGCATAGGGCAAAATACTTCCCTTTAAAATGCTAAACCAGCTGAAACACAATGAATACTCTGCTTTCAATATCAACATATGTATTAATAGCTCTACCTCAAGGATACTACCAAGAAAATGATTCAGATAAGGAGATCTCTTTTGCACTGTTAATTGCATAACTCTATCATGCAAGTAAACATGAAGCACAATAAGCAAATTTAAAGCTGCTGGACAAATTCTGTGATGCTAATCTCACATGATTAGACAACACTGGCTAGCAATAAACACTCAGCTTAATGCAAACTAGGATCATTAAGAAAAAGTGAAGTAGTAAGGTCACTTACTATGGCAGCCCCATTGACTTGTACCGATTTACATGCAGTACTCAGTGTGGAAGAAGAAAGTCTTTCTGTACTCTGTGTCTCTCTCTGCTGTTTATCCACAACTTTGGAGTCCCTGTAAGCATCCAGCAGGAAGCAAGGCTCATGAGAAGTGAAACTTCAGGATAGACGAATGGTTTAAAAATAAGTCTAAAATGTTTGAGTATGACTGCAAGTAGTTACAGCTGTAATTTGCCCAGCACATGATGACTTAGCATTGCATTAAAAAATGCTATCAATAATAGAAAAAATATATTCCTGTGCAATGTGACACTATCTGTAATTTGTCATGTTCTAACAGCATTCAGTTACTCAGCTATTTGATTTGCAGGCTCCAAATAAACTGTTACCAAGAAACATTTTTATGGTATGGACATCAGTACTGCCCATAGGGCCACGGGTTTACTCTCTGTGTTTCAAAACTATATAAATACAAGACAGTAAGGTATTCATTAAACTTCTATTCACAGAAACTAAACCATGACATTAAATTTTCTTCTGCTGAATGACTATTATGATTGAATCACTATTATAATATTGTTCAGAAATTAAGCTTTATTGCCTTTACTACAAGTACAACAAAATATTACTTCTTTCATTGATTAAGATTTTAATAGCTATTTACATTGCTCTGCCTGATGAAAGAAAATGCAAATGTGATTCAGAGCAGAATAATTATATCCATGTAATTAAGTGCTTACTCAGTAGGCTGGGGTGGCGAAGGAGACCTTTCAAAGGTCCTGGGCAATGTAGAAGAAACTGGTAACGGCTCTCGAGGAATTCCTGATGGAATAGTGTTTGTACTTGCATCCACATTAATGTTCTGAAGGAGGAAAAAAGGCACAGAAGGACAATCAAAATATCCAATTAATATGGTTTGCCTGAAAATTAGCACAACCAGGAAACAGTTCATCATTTGATTTATACTGGTAAATTGACTAGGAAGGTACAGAAGGAGTCAATAGATATATTGTAATGAATATGTTATTTTTTCCCTTTACATTTATTTAGAAACACAGACAAATAACACACTGTGGTTACTTCCAAAGAAATTATAAGCTTTGGGATGTATCTGAATAACAAAATCACTTTGAATCATTAAGGTTAGAGAAGACCTGTAATCAATCATCACTTTGTCAACTAGACCATGGCACTAAGTGCCAGATCTGGTCATTTCTTGAACACTTCCTAGGGTGGTGACTCCATCACTTCTCTGGGCAGTGTGTTCCAACACTGAACTTGCCTTTCAGTAAAAAAAAAATTTCCTGACTTTCAACCTAAACCTGCCCTGGCACAGCTTGAGGCCATTTCTTCTTTTCCTGTCACTGCTTGCTTGGGAAAAAGAGACCAACCCCCACCTGGCTACAACCTCTGTGCAGGCAGCTGTGGGGAGTGATGAGGTCCCCCCGAGCCTCCTTTTCTCCAGGTTACACAACCCCAGTTCCCTCAGCTGTTCCTTGTAACTTGTCCTCCAAACCCTTAACCAGCTCTGCTGTTCTTCTCTGGACACTTCCTGCAGTGAGTGGCCCAGAACTGGCCTCAGGATTCCAGGTGCAGCCTCACCAGTGCCCAGTACAGGGGGACAATCACTGCCCTGGTCCTGCTGGCCACACCGTTTCTGACACAGGCCAGGATGCCTTTGGCTTTCTTGGCCACCTGGGCACACCTGGCTCATGTTCAGCTGCTGCTGACCAGCACTCCCAGGTCCCTTCCTGCAGGGCCACTTTCCAGCCACTCTGCCCCAGCCTGCAGCACTCCCTGGGGTTGTTGTGACCCAAATGCAGGACCTGGCACTTGGCCTTATTAAACCTCACACAACTGGCCGTGGCCCATCAATCCAGCCTGTCCAGACTCCTCTGCAGACCTCTTCCTTCCCGCCCTCCAGCACATCAACACTCCTGCCCAACTTGGTGCTGTCTGTGAACTTACTGAGGGTGCCTTTGATCCCCTCGTCCAGATGACCAATGAGGTTATTAAACCAGACTGGCCCCAATACTGAGCCCTGGGGAATACCACTAGTGACTGGACTTCTTTCCACCTGGAAATTTTCCACCTTCTGGTAACAAAGTAGGCTTTGCACCTGTTCACATAACCAGAGGCAGCCTATCAAGACAAAAGCCCCCTAGTGCTGTGCACTAAGAACTGTCATCTTCAAAGCTCTAATTCTGCATCATCCCAATATAAGGATTTGCTACCAAGCAAAAGGCTTTTCCCATAGCCCTCAAAAGATTCTGCTACTGCCAAGTGACACTGTGCTTCCAGATAAATGCCAAACAGGTTCAAGATGCATACATTAATTTAAATTATCACAAAATAAGAAAAGACAACTTCATATCCTGAAAAATATATATCTCACGTCTAATAACCATTTTGTTCATTTTAAAGGGTGCTATGTTCTTTGTATTGCATTTGACCTGTCTCATCCTAAAAATTCTAAACCCCAAAGAGATTCTGGTATACAGAAGGGGAAGTAATGAAAGAACACAAGCTCAGAAGGAACAAGATAACCCTCCTTTTCCCCCAGCCAAGCCACCATTCAAAAGGGCACAAACCCCAAGAATGCTATGGTCACTGTTATAAAGTAAAATGGTATTCGATGGCACTGTTTCAAGATCAGGCAACATAGATTACTCATTAGAATCTAAGCCTAATTCGATTCAAAGTAAAAGGCTGCAGAAGGTGGATGCTTAGAAATCACCAAACAGCTTTTATAGTTTTATTCACTTTAATAGTGTGTACAAAGGCTTGAAATTGCAAGCTGCTGAGCATTCTGGCCCAAGTGCATCGGAACTTGTAGGTACATGGTTAAATGTGAATAACTTCAAGTTAAGCAGACATGCAAGAGCTTTTCTTTGCCAAAACACTTAGCCCTTGATCTGACAGTGCTGCACTTCCTAGTTACAAAATGTGGGATGATTATTACTTGCCATTCCCCAGAGCTACATCTAGAAGAGCATCACTAAGCATAAAGATATGATGCTTACGTAACAGCTGCTGGAAATTCTAGACCTTTAGTCCCCTCAGCTTTCTTATATTGGACTTGCCCGTCTATATAAAACAAGGGAAGCACTGTGTAACTCCAGTGCTTTGTAACACCACATCAAGTGACATGAAAAAACATTGAGATCAAGGTGAAAAGCAGCCTGTATACATTGGCAAGATTGATATTATTTTCCATAGTTTTGCAGCAGAACACAATCACTCTTTGGAGCTGTTATCTTACTCGTTATTTAAATGCCAACAAGGAAAGGTAGCATAATTCCTTTCTTCCACACAATGATACAGAGTAACTCCTGTATGCTGAAAAATTAAACCGGTAGGATTTCAAAAATGAAGGATGCTTTTTAATGTGACAGTGCACTGCAAGATTCATAAAGCATCAGTGCCCGACTCATATGAAGACTGCCTCTACAGGAGAGAAGTCTTAAGTTCTTTACCATACAGCGCAAAGCAAGTACCACATCTGTGACAGGGGAACAAAGAAATTTCAGCTGCAGCATTAAAAACAAGTGCTGGAATAGTATTTAAAACCTGAAATACAATAGTCAAAAAACCACTTCATAAGTAAAAAACTTCAAAATTACTAGATCTTACCCTAATAGAACAGCCTACAATCTGTAGTACTGGCTGACAGCAAGTTAAACACTGCTCTTAGCATGGCTCTAAACTGCACATTCCCTCTAAATGCAATCCTGGAACGTGGCTGCCCCTCCTACCACTTGCAGGAGACAGAGTAGATGGTTTGTCTGTACAGTCACTGCCTTGGGTGCAGGCTGCCCTGCTGTCTCCTCTTTCTTTACTGACAAACACCCTCTACCAACCCCTGACACATGGGCACCAAAGAAAACGTTCTAAACCCAGCCTGCTGCAGGAGAAGACCCGAGAGATTGTGGTGGTTTACCACATAGCTTTTGCACTGTTAATCCAGGGCTTAACTTCTTCAGTTGTGGTACAGCTAGAAAAACACAAGTTAAATTTGAGCTAGCAAAAAAATCCAATACAGACTTTCATAGCCCAGAGCGTCCCACAGTGCAGAGGGTTATGCGAGTCTTGCTGGAGGAGAACATACTGTCACTCACAGATGGCATGGCAGAGACAGTTCTAAGAATGAAATCTATGAAAAGCTACTGAACATAATTTTCAACTGCATCTCTACTACATCTATACAGCAGTGGTTGCCAAGTTATTCTGGTGTATTTTTATCTTTCCGAGCAAGAAAGATCTTTATCTTTCTGACAAGACAACACTGAGATCCAGCTGGTTTTGGTAGCAGGTCTTGTTCCAGCTATGATGCCTAGCGTACTGAGATTATGTAGGCAGCTCCTTTATTTTGGTGCTTATAAGTTTTTCTCTGTCACTTTAAAGTGTTTTATATACAACTCAGAAGTCTTTACTTTCACGCAGGAGGGAAAATGTATCACATATTTTTCACCTGAATCTATCAAAAAGCCTGAGGCAGTTATGAACAGCAAAGAGCATATTTTGTAATCTCTGCTATTAACATCTACTTATACTGGTGCCCATATTCCACATCATTTCAAAGAGAATACCCAACAAATTCTAAGATATAAGTGAAGAAAGCAGCAGCACATCATTTGACAGCTGTTTTTTAAGAACATTTTGTACAACCCATGTAAACCCACAAGTTTTTCCATGTATAAACCATCAAATCAGAAAACAAGAGGTATGCAATTCCTTGCTTTCCCAACAAAAATGAACATCCACTACTCACTCTTTCTTTTGACGTTCCTATTACCACACTGGACAGTCTGTTTTCAAACAGGTCTTCAGTCTTTAAATTGCCAGCAGCCCCGGGTAATGGAGGAAAGCTAGATAATCCCAGTTCAAAGCTGGGAGATGGAGGTTTTGGGGGTGGTGGAGACTGTGTTTGGCCTCTCTGGAATAGAAATAGCATGTTGTGGTTACTGCACTAGATGACAGAAAAATTTATGCAACTCTAAACTGTATTTTGCACTTGATTTGTATCAGCAAGCCCCTGGAAGAGGCTCCCTCATATGATCTCCCAAATAACCTACAGAGTAGCAAGGAATAGATGCTTTATTTTCCACTGCTGCCCTTTAATATATTTAATTATTATTTAAATGTCATGGTATACACATCAGCTTTAGGGATGCTGGCACAGTAAGAAGTTTTCTCACTGACTCATCCTTGAGGACAGAAACACTGATACAGAAAGGAAAACAGACCGGTTTATGTATCATGATATGGTGAAAATATAATGCCCATTTATGTACAGTTAGTAACATCCAAAATAAAACAACAGGAGTCAACAAGAATCTTTTTTTCAGATATATGAAGAAAGAAAGGGCAAGACAGCAAGCCTTGTATGTAGCACAGACAATAACTTATTAGTATCAATCTATATCGTCACTGTGTAAAAACAGAAAGGTGTCATAACTATTTTTGAAACAGAGACTTTCTAACTAAATCTAAGAAGAAAACCAATGTCTCAAGAAGAAAACAACACCTGTGTGCTAAATGAAACCATTTTGCACTACAGAGAGCAGTTCAGGAGTTAAAAGTACCACGGTTTAAGATCACTTGTGAGAACTGCTGGTAAGGATTTGTAAGTTACATTATATTTACACAGGAAAAATAAAACTCCTTTGTAATACGCTGTAACTGAAGTTACCAATTAACTTCACCTACATCATGTAAACAAAGAAGTTTTTCTTCAAAGAAGTCTTTATTGACTGTGCTAAGACGGTCTCTGCTGCAAAATACCAAATGCAAAGCAATGTTTGAAACAGTTCATATTTTGAAAAGGAAAATACGAGTGTGTATTGTATAAGACGGTGCGAATGTGAGAACAATGCTCCTGAACAAAAAGAACAATGGATACAAGACTACCTTTGAAGTCTTTTCACAAACTGCGTGTAATGTCCAAAGAATTGTGTGTCAAGAGGGAAGTAGGGAAAGAAAAAATACAGAGGCAAAACCAACTGCAACTCCCAGCACTGCTACTGATCCAGCATTACCCCCTGGAAGAATGCTACAGCAATGGAGACTGCAAATCTTCAGAACTGAAGTCAGATGACCTGTCAAAGGTCAGGGAGAAAAACTACATTTATCCAGCTCAAACTGCAAGAGGAACAACTCGAATTTTAAGTGTCTTTCTTCAAATCACAGCTCTTGCTCTTCTTAAAGGGGACTGAAGTTCTGAAATAGCAAATGCCTTCATATTACATTTTAAGTTACACAGTTGAATCCTAAAACGCTCAATATATTAAGAGTGGCATTAACAAATTACCAGGATGAGGGAGGACTTCAATAAATTTTAAGCTAACTGCATAAAATTTCTCAAATTAACTTCCTGTGGCTTCAGTACTTGGTTTATGTCTATAGCCTCAGAAACAATCTGATCAAAAAGTTTCATGCTCTTTTTTCATGCAAACGTGCATACAACTCTTTAATTTTTCCTTTAAAGAGAAAAATCTTATAAAGGAGTCATTACTCCATTCAAATATACTGGCTTTAGTGGTGTCCTCTGTACACTACCTAATTGCTACAGCATTACACAAGAAACAGGATACTGGATTCAATTATTTCCACAGTCTAAAAATTTTCATCTTTTGCTTCCAAGTATGCTTCCTTGCAGTGGTGGGTATGCAGCAGCTCTCACTTCTGCTTAAGGTGCAGCAGTGGACACGACAGATTAAAGATTCTTGGCCCAGAAGAGACTGGAAGGAACTTGGCTGCACAGGCTGCAATTACAGCCTGGTGTTGACAGAAGGGAACTGTCCATCTCCAAAGTCACATCTACCAGTTTTTACATTCAAAGTTCAAATAATCTCTGCAGTCAGCTCTGTCAGAAGTGCTGCATTACTCAGAGAGGCATCAAAGCAATCCTTTCACTCCAGTCACTCACACCTAACCTGTACCACTTCCTTGTTCTTTTAAATACAGAAAAAAGTTAATATGAAAATCTCACTGTGAAAATTCAAGCAGCTTTAAAAGGGCAAAAGGAAGAAGTACTGGGAATCCTACATGCAATCTGGGAAGTTTGATGAGAGCTAAAAGCAAACAAAAGGAAGGAATCACTTGCTAAAATTTCCTGCTCCTTTAAGTTCACTCAGGCCGCTCAACAGCAGGAGCCACAAACACATATGTGCAGTGATTCCAGACCTTTAGGAAGTGTTATGGCTCATGCAGTAGTGTTACTTTACAATTATAACACAAATAAGGAAATAACCTGGTTCAACTTCATGAATATGCCATGTCTGGCAAAAGTGAATTGCAAAGAATGATTGGTTTTATCACATCAAGACTTAAATCTTACAAAAACATGTTTTTTGTCTTCTACGCCTGGTGCGGCCTTTTTAAGTATCAAGTCCACTTTGGTATTAACCTTGAATGTCAGTCTCCCAAAACCACACCATTATAATAGTATTAGCATACCCTTACCAAGTGGCACTTGAAAAGACATTTAAGAAAATGAACTGACCACATCACAACAAATATTTTTGCCACACATTATGCCACAATGATCTATAAAATGTTCTTCACTGTCACAATGACTGATAATGAAGTATCAAGTGTTTTGTGCTTCAGCTGTTTACCTATTCCTGAATGTGAACACTGGCACGTTGACAAAAACTGAGATGGAAATTTTTTGCTACCATAAGAGTAATTTTAACTTTTCCCTGACTTCTGCATTAATGGAAAATCTTCTCTGATACCCAAATGCAGTAAACTCATGTGACTAATGAGCTGCTGTCTTTAATCAACTGTGATGTACAATTGCTTCTGCAGTAACTTACTTCGCCTGCTACTCCATGTAATATCCACACTACTGCCTTGTTACTCTGCTTTTATTAGAGACAAATAAGATCATGAACACTCACTGTAAACTTGTCCTCCCTTTTCTTTCGGTAGCCATATGAGTTTTTCCTAAGGGAAAGAATGCAGATATGAGAACCTTGCCTATAAATGGACAGAAAGCAGTTAATGAAAATAGGAGAAATTAATTCAAATTGCTATTTCATCCATCTTCATTCTACACAGGTCATGAAGAAAAGTTTTATGGAAAAATTCCTAGCAAGCTGTCATTAAAATAAAGGTACAGCTCTTATGCAAATCAGTGTAAGAATATGCAATAAGTAATTCCTGTGTTAAAACCATCTCAGTAGGGATTACATATAAGGACTAGACAAAACATTACAGTACCTAAATAAGGGGGTTAGGAATTTTTGTATGCCAATGTAATTTCTCAATTTCAGCTAACTATTTTCAATCCAGGTAAGGCTCCTTCAAAACATTTTCAGCATTTTGCCTCCAGCCCTGCTTCAGGTAAAGCCCTCCAAGCAGCACTCATAAAATTTGCATTGCATTCTAATTCAGTTTCAATATATTTTCTAAGTTTGTTTGACTTTTGTAATTCTAAATGTATTCAATACAGAAACAACAAAATACAATTTTAAGTACTGAGCATTCCTGTACATTTTTGTAGTCTATAGTTTGAGCAATCTTATTTCCTGAGTTCTTAATAACACTTTCGTCCATTAGTTATAACACAATTTGGTAAATTAGATTTAGGAAAGTATTACAACCCTTGCACAAAATACCCATTTAATTTTGAAATGATACGAGTCTAAAATAGGATCATCTGCAAAACACTTGAGTTATCTTCCAATTCAGTAAGTCACTCAAAATGTGATTTACTTGGAGTCATAAATACAGCCATTATCAAAGCCGCATAATATTTTCATGAAGCACTTATTAAAACTGTATAAATATGCCAGATTTCAGCTCCCCTGGTAGTTGGTTGTGGTTTTTGTTTGGTTGCTTTTAAAACAACATAACAATAGTTTCCTTAGTTGCCTATAGCTGTTTTTCCTCCCTCCATACCAATCCATCATCTTTGCTGTTGTGTATGCCCAATTTGGTAAAATTTCTGATCCTCCAACTGAAAAAGTTAAGAATGCTAACACATGTTCAGGTGTACAATCTACAATGCTGAACAATGGAATTGGGCAGAACTTTTTCAATAAAGTCAAACAAATAATATACAAAAACTTTCTTGCACCAGATGAAGAAAGGCTAGATTAGATCTTACAGATCTAAGTTGTTCATCAGCTGCCAACAATGATTTTCATCCAGTAGGAAAGTCTGTTTTGCTTTGTTCTGTATTTAACTTTCTGTGAAGTACTTTGCAAGATTTTAGGTGTGAGGAGAGAGCCTGAGTTTGTATCAGTATTGAGAACAGTAACAATACCACACTTCTACTAAACAGAGTCGCTCAAAAGCAGCAGAACTTGGCTGTTCAGAGGACAACTACGGAGTACACTCACCTTCCTCTCCCTAATCCAGGGGACGAGTCAACGCTGGTCTGTTCCATCCGCCCAGTTCCCACTTCCCTCTTGGTGTAACTGGTGGTAGCACTCTGCACCCGTGTCCTGCTTTGTCCCGGCTGCCGCGTCTGTGGACTCCTGACGCCATTGATTAAACGATCAGCAGAAAAGTTGAATATTGTAGGACTGTCTAGAAGCCCAGGTCCCCTTTCTGCACTGGGTATTGTATGTCGTATATGTGACTTGCTAGGATTCCTATAAATTCAAAAGTCATTTCAACATACGCGCACTATCAGAGATCTTCTGAGGCCTAAGCCTATTCACAGAATTCAGAAGAAGCAAGATCTTCAGTCCTTTATCACTTATTTCATTTATAAGAATGATCAACATTCATTGTAACAGGTCATGTGAATTATCAAAATTAACCTTTTCCCTGTTTTCAACTAGACCTTTACTATATGAATAATCCTGCTGATGACATTTCATCTTTCAGAATATTTCAGCTGAATACCCTAAATCACAGAACAGACAAGTTCTCAGCTTTCAGACTGTCCTTTTACATTTTGAAACGCTACATTCATTAACATCAGGAGCACCATCTGCCCTTTGGCCTCACCTTGGGCACGAGGTTCAGTTTCACAAGTATTCTCAAGTTAGCTGGTGTTACTAAAATAAGCAGATGAAAACCCCATGTGCTAGATAATACAACAGCATTGTTAAAAGATAGATGAACTTGCCTGTTCCTGGGAGGATATTGTCTGAGCGTTGTCAGCGGAGAAGCAGCAGGCTTAAAGGTTGGAGATGTGAACCCATTGATAAACCCAGTATTTGGAAATGGTGTTACCTAAAAAAATGGTGTCACATGCTCATTATTATAAACAAACTGAGTATTACTTTTCTTAACTCCATATTTTATGTCATTCTGTGCAGGACAATACTCAAAAGATTGTCTCAAACAGCAATAGAGCATCTGCTTAGTATCTTGTAGCTAAGTTACAAAATTTCTGAAAAAACCCCAATATTCTGCTGGTCTGAGAAGCCAGTCACTGTACATATTCAATTTATGATAGTTCAAGGGGATTGAAAAACATCAAGCCAAAATTCTTGGCTGGAAGTTGAATAGCTCCCCTCCTATTTCACATCATACTACGCATGTCTTGGGAGTACTGAGATACTTCTTTGTCAGAGCCTCTAATCTACATGGCAGGTAATTGTTTCTCTTCTAATTTTATGTGAATTCCTCCCTATAAAAACTCCAAGTTTTTAGTTCCTCATTCTACTTCCATATGACATCTAAATAAAGCCTATAGAATAAGTGGATGTTAAATGGAACTCTGAAGCTTTTCAGATCTTAACATCTAATTCTACATGTGAAACACTCTTGTTGTCTGAAGAAACATTAGCAAAACATTTTCTGGGGTGGGTAAAGACCAATGTCTTGTAATAACAAGATGCCTCTAAACCTGAAGCATGTTCAAAGCAATTTCTCCAACCTCACTAGCACACTTTTGTCATTTTTATCTAAATGTGTGAGTTTCATTTAAGAAATGTTACTGTTAGCACCAGCAAATGCTTGCTTGTCTTCTCCCCCTGAAAATAACTACAGTGCAGAAGGAACAAGACTCTTTCTACATTCTACTAAATGTTGAGAAACAGCTGGGATTAAGACCATTTGCTATAAAGCCACAATCAAACTTGAAAGAGATTTCTTGTGCAAGTTAAATCACTTATCAATAGAAAACAAAATTTAACCCCAAATCTGTCATATCAAACTACTGCTAGCCTAACACAGCATGCACGACAGCAAATGCTACCTCAGGCTTCACAAAAAGGCCCTTAAAAAAAAGCTTGTAACAAAGCACCTCGAGGAACAATGTTTCATCAAAATAATGCTTTGAAGTGGTTTCTGGTTTAAGAGTTACAACATGAATGCTGCAAAATTGCATCAAAGATAGTAACCATTGAACCTGAAAAACGGGAAGATGCTGAACATATTAGGACCCTAGTAATATTCAATTCCTCTTTCTTTATGATGCGTGATCCTTTTGGAGGAAAAAAATATTTTTTTCCCCATTTTCCAATAACATCAAAAGAAGTCAACTGGTTCAAACATACTTTCCTTTCAATTTTTTTTTCTTTTTCCCCCAAATAGGAAAACTAGATCTTTTCTCAAATACTATTAAGTACATGATGAAGAATGAGGTAATTTTAGAATCCTGACTTCATGTGTTGTCACATTTAAATTTCAGAACTAAAATGGTATGCCCACACTACTGGGGTATTCAATCTCAAATTAGTGATGATAGAAAGTAGTGTTTATGTTGAAGCAGAATAGAGAAACTTTGCTGTATTTTCACACAAGTCTCTACATGCAAACTGCAACCCTGTCTCATGAAAATTATTGCTGTGTCATGGTTCCTCATGGTCCCTGTTCTCCTCAAGTGATTTCTATTCAAATATAGCTCTTCCTACAAAAGAATCAAGAAACATCACGTTACAGTCATGTACATAAAATGCAGCTAACCAATGACAATACACTGCAAAATAGTGAAAAGCAAAGTGCAGATAGTTGATTTCCTGTTTTGACTAAGAAAAGTATGAGGTCTTTATTGCTGGCAAACTCATGGCTTCCCCAAAGGACAGGGCTAGTAAGATTTCTTGAATACAAAAAGTTACAGGATAACATAAGGTAGATACACAGTATGTATGCTGTGCTTGAACCTGTGGCTTATTAACCTGTGTCTTGGATACCATTCCCATCCAGCTCCTTCAGTATCCCAGAGCAAGACAGTGCAATAGTCAGTTTTATCTACAGGCAGATTCAAATTCATTGCTGCTTAACAAGACAGCTTTCTCCTGGAAACAACACTGCTGGAACAACACTGCTCATTGTGGTACCTCGTCTCCTCCACATTCTTCATTCCCTCCCACAGAAAGCCTCCCCCTGCAAGGGCTCTGGTTGCCTTCCTTGTGTGTGAAGTGTTTAGCACACTAACTTTTTAATTAGCTGTGGTTCAGTACAGAGGATGTTTGCCCAAGGACACTTTAATCCTCTGCCAAAAAAAACATCTAAAGAACTTCTAATTTTGAGCACTGTTCCCTGTAATTCTTTGAGCCACAACTAAAGAGGCATCTCCAAGGGGGAGAAAGAGGCTTCAGATAGGAAACCTGAGCCTCCCAGTCATTACAGGAAACTGTCCATGTATTTGTAGGGTAACAAAGGCCAACTAAAAGGGGCCAAGGCAATTCTGATGAGACTGTCACAATGCAGAAGACGGAAGCAGCATGGCAGGATACAGTAGATGTCTCATTAGAGTATTTAAGGATTTATTGCTACCACCCTAGCTTCAAGCCTCACCAAAACCCCCTTTAAGAAAATAATTTAAAAAGCAATTTCAAGGTGATTTTTGTAATTAGCAAAAGCAATTTTACTTTTCATTGCTGAAAGAGATGTTACTATTGTACAGAAAATACTCTGCTTTATGAACATGTCAAATAGGGCAATTCAGCATGTGTCCTGGGGTGACTTTATGATACTGGTATCCCCAATCGTCTGGTTTATGTTATATATTAAGTTCTGCACCTTTAAGACTGGCTTTGAGAGCAAGAGAGGGGGAAGAAGAAGCGCGCAGTTTGTGTTAAGGAAAAACATCACTCCCACACATCCTGCTCCTGGACTGTGGTGTCTGCAGCACGGACAGACAGCGGGATAGAGCTTCTCTCTGGCTTTTAGTTAGTTTTAGCTAGCTGAGGCAGAGGAGTTCCCTGGACCTTTGTTTGGTTTTTTCCCAATTTTCTTAGATCTGTGCAAGCCTGCTCTGGACTGAACACCCAGCCAAACCCCGGGAGCTCAGGCCTGTGGCCCACCAGGGCCTGGGCCTCGGCACTTTCCAGCGCCGGAGGGACTGATAAGAACCTGAGCGAGCCGAGCTACACCACATGAAAAGGACTTTTCTTCCTAGACTTGCCATCCCATCGAACAGCAAGAGGTTTTATTATTTAATATTACTCAATTTCTGTTAAATAAACAGCTTTTTCCACTTCTCTCTAAGGAATTTTTTTTTCTTTTCCCGGACCAATTAGTGGGGAGGGGCATTTCCCTGGGGAAATCCCCATTTGGAGTTTTCCTTCCTAATTTGCCCTAAACTAAGACAAATACAGTTTTTTTGGCGCCCAACGTGGGGCAAGAGAAAGTGGAAAAACCTGTACTGAGTGTTGGTTGTATTTATTCTGTATTGAGATAAAGCAGTCAGTAGCCATGTTGTTTGGATACATAATGTCTCTTGGGGTGGAGGCCTTCATGTGGACCTGGTCCCTAAAAGTTTTTGAGGTTTTAATACCTGTCTTTGCCCTCTTTCACAGTAGAGGGGCACGGATTAGAATGGTTATTGTGCTGGGCTCGGTGATAATGATTTATAAGAAGTTTATAGAACTACTGAACACAGTACAGTTACCCTACAACCTAACTTCCTGCTAGAAGAGCAAGATATCTTGGTATCTTGACAAGTCTTTACTAAAGAACTGCCTCAATACCTAAAAGGTTTAAGAAGAGAATCACACTCCATTCTGAGATCAGACACAATTTTCAAATAATCTGTCTTATACACCATGGCAAGGATTTTGAAGGACTGTTTTTCAAGAAGAACCAGAATCTTTAAACTCCCCTCTTCAGGCTAGGTGTGTTTCCCTACACCTCAGCAAGAAAATAGTATCAGCTTTGAAAAGAATACAACTGTTTCAGAATTAAGACACTTACCAATGAAGGGTCAAGGTAGCTGTGTGTGGCTGACCAGGTCTGTGGGCCAATTAAGCTGTACAGTGGGAAGTGCTGCTGGGGACTGTATACTGGAGGTATGTAAAAGGATGCAGTGTAGCGCTGCTGCGTGTAGAGGTTCATATCCAGAGGCCTATATCCATTCTTTGGCAAAAACGTGTTTATAGCTATTGCCTTTGCTTTTATCCTTGCCTGCAAAGGAGATTAGATTATTTATTACAGCAGCCTTTCAAATTAAATCAGGATGGTTCAAACTAGAAGCTCTCAAACTTGTACTGGACACTTATCAGTCACTGCTTTGTCCTTCAAGGACAGCAGCAACAGCTGAATGCTTTCCTGCCGCCTAATGCTGGGCTGGATATACCACTGCCAAAAATGAGGAAAATGAGAAGTGAAGTGGTATGTGCTACATTTCTAAACCCAGGTCAAATGGCTGCTGAGATTGGACCACTTAAATTTATATTAGAAATCACAGTGAGCACCACAAAACCCAGAACATACACACACCTCACTCCTAACATCATAAACCTCTATTTACCTTAATTGGTTTTCCTTGGAAAGTCTTCACTTCTTCTCTAAGGTATCTGTAAGCCTTTAAAAAAAAGAAAGTGTTAGATTTGTCAAATGTAATTTAAATAAAGGAAACTTAAGTTTTGACAGGCTAAGCCTACCAATTCCTGTAGTATCTGCTAATGTTACAGTATAGCAAACTCTCATACACCACCTGCATATAGCAACATTTAACTGATCATTAAGTGCTTCAGGAGCATTAAAACTCCAATGGTTTAGATGGAAGCATTTCAATGTGTCACCCAAAATATCAACACTCTCAGTACAAAAAAAATCATAGCTTTAGCCAGGAAGTCAGAATATGCAAACAAGATAAAAAAACCTCCAGTTACTGAAAACTGGATACTACCTAAGGGGAAGAATTACTTTTTTTACGGTTTGGGGTATTTTTAAGTTGTTACACGTTTGTAATACAACCTGTCGATTCACCCTCATATCATCCTCATTTACTTTTACATTCTAATATGCTTCAAAAACCAGAGTTACCTGCTGTGCATCAGCTTCTGATTCAAATGTGATGAACCAATTGTCATTATAGGCAAACTCACAGTTGATGAACTTAGGCAAATTGTCTCCTTTGAAAAGTGCTTCAACCTCCTGGGGAAAGTGGTTTGATAAGGAGGTGGGGAGGTAAGAGGGAGAGAAGAAAACATCAGTGAAAAATGCAAAACTCTTGACACTCCAAGAAAGAAAGACCGGAAGCACTGCTGGGCTTACAAAACAACGGAGTAGTTCAGAACACCTGCAGTAGAGTCAGCATCATCCCACTCTCCCCACTGGAAGGAATTCAAACTAGCACTGTCTAAGGCCATACTGAAGAGAGTTTTAGCTGGGAGCTATTTAGGCCACAGAAGACATTTAAACTTGGAATCAAGTGCAGAAATATGTCTATTTCTCCCTGTCCCCAAAACCATGAAGCCACATGAAAACCTGTGCATGTGGCATGGGTCAGGAAAATCCTGCCCTTTCAGCAGAAACCTGCAGGTAAGCTTTAACTCAAATATCTACAGATTCATGTATTTGAAACAGGGCTTAAGTTACCCTCAAACATAACTGGCTAGTTTCTAAAGAAGAAACAGACCCTGGATTTACTTGTTTTAATTCATTTGCGTATTTTTTTGTTTTGTCACAGATTTGGGGTGAGCAGCATCAAAAGGCAACAACTTGGGAGGCCTTACAGCATCTTGGAATTTTGCTGCTTAAATAAAGCCTGACTCTGCTGTGCCAGAAAACACAGGCTGGTTAGCTATTTGGTTAGTTAAGTCTAGATTTTTCCAGTCCAACAAATTTAAACACGATATATAAAACATTTCATTGGAGACCAACTCTTCTGAAAAGAAAGATTCTTCAGAACTCTGTTGTTGCCAAACATTTAAGAGTTAACATCCAGTGCTAATATATCCAATCTGATGAACTGATGACAGAAAAAAAATAAATATGAAAAAAAATCTACAATAATAAAATTTAGGCAGTCTTTGAAAGGCTACATTTCATTTGGAAAGCTAGAAATAGCCACTATTTTTAACCTATTTACATAGCATATATCCAACTTCTTCCCTCCAATTTCTTTTAGCATTTTGTTTTGTTCCTGTTTATTAAGGCCACTTACTTTTTTGCTATCAGTTTCCAAATTGCAGTACTTCTGATTTTTGTATGGCAATTAATTATATTTGATTATCCATTATATTGATGGTTACTAAGAAGAGCAACTCTTTCAGAATCTTTAAGTCTTCCTTGTAAAATTTAATAGAAGAGAAATTAAAATATATATCCATCATTAAGTATTAGCACCTTCTCCTCCTTTTTGAAAATTCAGCATGGTTTAATTATGACCCCATAATTTTTTCTAATATCTCCATTAGTCATAATCCCTGCTTAAGCAGAGTGGTATGAAGTATCTTTCTAAGAATGAAGTTCTCCAGTCTTGCGCTCATTCCACAAGCCAGTGGAGATCCTTAGTGACTTACTGACACCTCTCACTTCAGCATTATGGAAACACTTACAAAGCTTTAACTACTTTACTTGAACAAGCTTCAAGGTGCAACGGTGGCATTTTCTAGTCTATGACTTACCTTCTTTCATCTTTGTCTATTTAACCAAGGATCTGAGGACCAAGTGCATATAGGTAAGACAAAATCCAAGAAAATGATGTATCTCTACCAAAGACAGCACTATCAGTTTCTCAGCCCTCTGCAGAACCACAGGTTCTACCACAGTCTTCCTGTGAGAAGCATGCTTCTATCAAAAATATTTCTTACCCAAAAACCCACAATAAACTAAGTTTAAGGAGTGCTGTTAGAAACTAAAAGTGTAGTAAAAAATGTGATGTGCTTATGGAAATTTAGTAGAAATCTAACTTCCAAGTCCTAAGGGAAAAGTATTCTTTTCTGACCAAGGGAACACTTACTTCAATGGGAGTAGATTCAGGTACTTCACGTAAAATCACAATACAGCGATTCTGATTTGGCCGAACTTTTTCCCCCTTTTCATCCACTTGAACTAAAGGCAACGCTAAGAGAGAAAAGACAAGAATGCATTTTAGCTGTCAGCAAACCTAGTAGCTTTGAACTCCAAAAGATGCTGTGAACACAGACTTACAATGCAGAGCTTCAAATATTTTTGAACAATAAGAAACAAGCAGACAATGTTTCTGTTCATCACTTACATGCCTGAAGAACCCTTCCTAGTTTTTTACAAAACTTGTAGCTCTAGCCAAATTCAATCTGAGCAGAGCTTTTCCATTTATAACTGCATCTCTGCACACCCTGGCAATGCCCTTGTAGCTCTCACCAGGTATTCATCCACTTCTCCATTTCTGGAATGCCTCTCTCTTGTTTTGAGCAGACTCAGAAGCACAGAGTTAAGCCAAGGGGGTCTCTTGATCCACCAACACTTCCCTTACCTTTACAGGGGATTAAATGTTTTTGTGATTCCAGGAGAGAACTCCCAGCACACTAGTATAGTTAGTGCCTTTATCCTCCATGGAAACTTCCCACAGAATCCCTCCCAACTGTGCTCTGAGCAAGCTGAAGTTTGCTCTTGCAAAATCTAAAACCTTAGAAACACTCAGTGTGCTCAGCACGACCCCAAACACCACAGTTCTGTGACTGCTGCAGCCAAGGCTTCCACTGGCTGAGAGATTACAAAGCAGGTTTTCTTAGTTTCTGAGTGGCGAGTCCAGCAGTGCCTCATTCCTGGTCGGCACATCTAACACTTGTATGGGGAAACAGTCCTCTGCACATTCCAGAAATTTGATGGATGACATGAGCTGCTGTATTGTTCTTTCAACAAATACCTAAGCCATTGAAATCGACTGTAAGAACTAGGTTTGGCTGACCCAAAGCTCTCGTAAGTGACTCAAATATTGCTCTGTTGGCTTTATTGTCTTCATTTAGGTCAGTAGCAGATGCCAACTCTAAGATCCCCCTCAGAAACAACCCTCAAGGTCTTGGCCCACAGGCTCTCCATAGAGCTTCCATGACTGATGCAGTTGATTTCTATACATTCAAGGCTCTCCTCAAGAGAGCGAGACTCCTCCATCCTTTTTACCCCATCTGTCTTTACAGAACAGTCCAGAGATATCCAGCATGATCCTCCAGTCATGTGAGTTGTCCCACCACATCCCACAACTTAAAATCATTAATTCTTATTTGCACAGATCATTATTCAATAGCTAGAATATGGAGTAGGTGTAATTAAACTATAAACTGTGATTATAACTGTGGTAGCCTAAGTTGCTTGGGTTACTTAATGCCATACAGAGAATCAATGGCATTTTACTGCAGTGCAATAAGAAGGAAGAGATGAAAAATTCAGATTAATAGTTCTGCACCAATAACCAAAATGCCTTCAAGCACAGAGGAACTTTTACTTACATCTCAGCACTTCAACAATCAAATCCATATCAGTACTGAGTTTCTTGACATGATCAAGGTTTGCTACTGTCATTATTGGCATATACTGATCACTGTCCATCTGTGATATAAGGTACATGTCACTGGCAAGATTTTCTCTGTTGGGAGAAAAAAAATAGGGAAATGTCACATATTAACTTTGTCCAATAAACTTGAGACAAAAATTCACCACAAAGTAGAAGGCAGATTCCTTCAGCACTTTTGCTAATTAATGAAAATCACAGGCTTAAACAAAGCTTGCGAAATGGCTTCAGTTACTCAGTTTTAATTATGACCAGTAAAGATTACAAAAATTCACCTTATCTGTAATTGCTTGTAACTACTCTCATTTCAAACCCATGTATTTGCTAGTTTATGCATTAGGCACAGGGGTTTCAGGTAAGCTTTAAGAGGTACATCAGCACAACACATTGAAATTTCTGTGCAGTTTTTTTTTTGAATTCTCATCCTTTCCCACTGAGTTTTAAGTAACAACTAAGAAATATATTAACATACATCCCAAGTTCTTAGTCATCCTCCAGTTTGGTACATTTAGGTAAATACATACCTAGATAAACAGACTTCCAGTGTCTTTTTCAGTAATTCTCGTAAATCTTCCTGACCTTCTGGCTGCAACTGTTCATTTCCACCTAATAGTTAAAATACTTCAGATTAAAAAGTAACTCTGCTATATTACACAATATCTATTTAAAACAAGCCATCATGTCTATTACTGACTACATAACTAGGAACAAATTTTCAAATTCAATGGATGTTCATTATGTTAGTTACCAAGTGCCGAAATTGCATGGCAACACTTTTTATTTGAGACAGAAAAAAGAAACCATGTCTGACTTTACTTGTTAACCTCTGTTCCCAAATACATAAAAATCTGAAGTACTTTTAGAACAACTAAAGCACATTTCAAAGTAAATACTGACGTGATTTGGCTTGTAGATCTGTGTTCTTTTCTCAGGACAGTAACCAATTCCTAGTTGACAAAACCCTGATTAATGCAATGCAAGGGAACAACGCAATGGAGGCACTCCATGCTTCTGGTCTTACTCTAAATTACCAACACATTAATTCAGAGAAGGTTTTCAAAAATATAGCTACGGAATATCAGCAGATATCGAATCTACTAACAACAGATATGTAATCAATTTACAATCTTTTGGTTAAGAAGGCAAAATTAATCTCTTTCTTATATGTGAAAGTTAAAAAATTATCACATGGAACACATGAACTTCATGTTCCATTTTGTTTAGATACAATATACCAGTGTCATCAGAGGGTAAACTCACTGTGTCAGTGGGAGAAGTGTTTAATGATTAGAAGTTCTGCACAGCCTTTAGCAATTTATACATTTAGTAGCATATTGTTCATCTAAATATATATGTATGTAAATGTAAATTAGCTTTTTAGAAGTATTTCATACCAACTGTTGTCCTCTATACCCTTCCCATCACTAACATTCATCATTTTACTCAGCTCTCCTTAGCCTTTCTTCTTCCTAAAGCAACTTCTAATTTTCTCCCACCATGCTGTCCTTCACGTGTCCTACTCTGACGAAAAGAACACCAACACCTGAGAAATACATGTATCACATTCTAGCCACTATTTCCTTTCCCTGTCTCCTCTCTCCTGTCCAAAACCCGGTAAGGACCAAAATCACATGCATTTTTAAAAATAATTACTAAAAAATGAAAGATCAGATTTCAGACTTGTGACCATGTGTCTCTATTCATCAAGTGGAACAGCCCCGACCTGCTGTTCAGCTCTTTTAACAAGAGTCCGATAATGTTGTAAAGTTAACTATTTTGGGTACATAAAAGACATACTGACAAGTTCCAGCATTAATCTAAAGAATACTGTTCTCTTCTAGAGCGTGAGGCACCATTAATCCAATCTTCTGTTCACTGGCTATTTATTATTTAATATTCCCTGATAGTACCCTTAAGTAGAAGGGTCAATGAGAACTTTCAGTTTTTAAATACAAGCAAAGATGATGCCACAACTATGTCTGATTTCAGCTGCCTTGATTTCCACCTATTATGGATGCTATAATGGTAATTTTAAATACAAAATCAGCTAAGCACAATAAACAGACCTGTTGTGAATCTCAAGAAACACCCAGTACATTTGCCTCTCCTCCCCATCCCTCATCTCAGTTCAAATAGTAATCCTACATGCATCTTGCAGACCTTCTGTCCCATTCAATGAGACATATAAGCATGGTGAATCTCAAGGCTAGTTTCCTGAAGTTTCTTAAAACAAACCATCTGGTGTAGACTACAGCTACTATTAACAGTTGCACTGAAATCTTGGAAGTTCATTAAATAAGAATGTGAAGAAGTTAAGACTAAAATGTCACTTATTTTAGCATTTCAAGTATAAAACGGTTCTTTCCCCACATGAACATTAGTACTTGAGACAAACTGTATGTGAATCTCACCTCAGTACCTGACCCAACTACAAACATGTATTTGTTTGATTCTGTGCAGTACCTTGTAAGATGTAAACCAGGAGGAGACAGGTCCCTAAACATGCCTAAGTTTGACTGCAAAAGAGACAGGAATTCCTAGGGTCATTTTAAAGAATGCATATATTGAACAAGAAAACTGGCATAGTTTGGGGGGCTTTTATTATTGTCCAGATGCTCATTGTTCAACTTAAAATACTTGTTTAGTTTGTTTTTAAACTAAGTCCAAGCATATCTTAGCTTTCTCCTACCTGTCTGGGTGGTTTCATGCATAGACTCATACTCGGAATGATCGAGAGCCAAAGGGTTCATATCCGTCTGCTCTGAGCCCGGAACAGCTGGGGACGGCTCCGGCAGCTCTGTCAGCACCGCATTCTGATGCTTTTTGTCACCATCGCCATTGGCATCCAGTCCTGAAGCACACATCACAAACACACTCAAAAAGTGTTCTTTCTAATCACAGTAACACCATAGTTAAAACTAAATCTGAAATAAAGGTGCTTACATACTCGCTTGAAATTTTTTAACAGAAAATTAAAATCGAGACATTGCTGCATCAAGTTTTACCTTCTGCTTGAGCAACAGCCAGAAACTCTTATTCATACCTTCTTTACAAGAGTCTGGAGGCTGGTCAGGTATTTCTTCCCACGTTTTGCTCACGCTACCATCAGTGGCACCACTTGCTTCCAAGTGTAACATATGATTTCCCCACACCTTTGCATTGGGGTTTAACTCAGAAACCTTGGTTGACTCCTGCAAAAATAAATTGATTATGCATTTCAGGGATGCAGAGCAGACATCTGGTGCACAGATACATTCAGTTTCAAGTAACAGTATCAGACATACAGCTCAAAATTTTACTGTCATGCTTTTTCACACCTGAATATATTAACTGAATTCCCATAATCATTTCAGGTATAAACACAACTGAATTGTGGTGCACAGTATTCATTTATCTGATTAAAAACCACCAGAAAAGGCTATCCAAGGAGAACAAATGACAACAAACATTTAATTCTTTGCCTTTGACAGACTAACTCAGCCTGTACTTGACCTAGACTTCAGGCAGTTTTCTAATATACATGTCTGCTTGATGTTGATTATATTACTATTGTATGTTTCTGCAAAATAATACTAAAAAAAAAAATCCAGAAATTACAAAAGTACAGGGATTTTTCTGAAATTATATAAACATGCAACAGTTTTGAAGAAACATTATGGAAAACTGAAAGCAGTAAGACGTGCATGACAACTTGTTATTACTTTTAGAGGATGAACAGAGCATTAGGACAGAAAGGATGAATAACCAGATCCATTTAAATCATTCAAAAATAATCTCTTTTAATCTGGATTGGAAATGGACACATTTATTGATTACATATAGTTATATACAACCATCATACAGATGGTCACATCTGTGCTTCAGAGACATTGCTCTCTGCAGTGCAAACATCTACTACAATACTTTTCTAGAGTAACATGAGACTTGTTTTGCTAATGTTTGAGCAAAGTGCATTGGATTATTCTATACCAAGAATATATGTTGAGTGTTCTAATCTAATTACACTGGGAAAGAATACTGCTCATGATAAGACATACTAAAAAAGCTTATTAAAATTTGCTTTCTAAATTTACCAATGCTAGGAACATCACAGTGTTTATAAGCAGGCACTCCAAAACTCCACAAAGCTTTAAATCTTCTTAAACACATGCATTCAAATACTTACTATCACAGCACATAGAAAATATATCCAGAAAATGAAAAAAAAGCTTTAGAAATTTTACTTAAACATCTCTTGAATGACAGACTTACAAAAAGCGGAAGTGTTTGACATAACTACTTGCATAGTAAGGATTCAAAGATGACAGCAAGCTCCACCAGTTTCCATTTTTAATATAAGAAGTTCCCAGGAGATAGCAAACAGCCTCGAGTACAATCCACTGCCCACCCTGCAAGTGCTGGGCAAATTCAGAGCAGCTGTTCCAACACAGCCAGTGAGGGGAACAATTTCAGGGAAGCTCAGCAGCGAAGGAAAAGGAGCAGCAGCTGCTACAGGTTGACTTCTGCAGCGTGAGTAAGGCTAAGGCTGGAAGGCACCACTGGAGGTCATCCAGTCCAACCTCTCTGCCTGAGCAGGGTCCACAGAGCACCTCAGGATTGTGGCCACACAGCTTTGCTTGTTTCTTAGCCCAGCTAGCCAAGATCCAGTCTAACTCTTTCCTCTCACTTCTCCTGCAGCCACTCCTCTCTACAGCACTACTCACCTCCAGAAGTGAGCAGAAGGTTTCTTAATTGCTACCAAACAAGAACTTCAGAAAATCCACAAACATTTCTTCCTATACAAAGTTAAAGAGCACTAAGAAAGGTTTGTAGCAAGCTTCCTTTCTGCACACAGTTTATCTTAAGCTCAGCTGGAACTGAGAACCTGCAATCAATTACTTTGCCAATGATTGAACTTTCACACAAAGTAAACAGAACAAAAAAAAAAAAAAATCAATATTCAGCAAAATTTTTGACTTCTGCATTCTGTACAGCATTCAGTTTTCCAAAGGGAAGGGAGTCATCAGGTTCAGGACAAAATAACATCTATTTAACCAATGACACCACAGTTTGACTTGGCTTAGTCAAACTTCTAACTTCAGCTTTAAGGTTTAAGAGCAATCACTTCTGCATAATACTTACAAGTTCATCTTTATCGTGCCATCCCCACGTACCAGCATATTCTGGTGCTAGCAGCTGATATGGGTATGTTTCCACTGCATATGAAGCACCTGTTAAATTTTCAGGTTCATTCTGTAAGTTTTCATTAACTATACACAGTCTGTCGTTCTTCATGGTATCATTAGAAGCTGCATTATTCCATAAAAAGCCCACTAGATATTCACCATTACTAGAAGGAACTGTGTCAGAAAGTAGCTGATTTGTCCAATCAGCATTGCCAGTCTGAAGATTGATGAAATGTGACCACATTTCAACGTGGGGATTTTGTCTGTCCAGGTCACAGGAGTGCTTCTGGTCACTTGATCCATTGTCCATCAGACCTAACACGCACTGCTCTGTGCCTTGCTGAAATCCTGCTGCACCAGGAGAGGCACTGGGTATTTCATAGGAAGGGGTAGCAGCATGTTTGTCTACCTGCTTTGGGTCAACACAAACTCCTAGCTCTTTGTTTGAGAAAATCTTGTGATCTGGCTGAATCTGTTCCCAGCTTGTGGTCAAGTCATTCATCTGAGTATTTAATATGTAACTGGTTTTTTTCAGTTCAGTAGTCTTGGCTTGCAATTGCTTCAAATTCTCCCTGGTGAAAGGTTCTAGATTCTCAGCTGATAAACCAAAACCAGTGAGGTTCTCCTTTGCGTGGATGCTGACACACTTGTTTACTTCACTGTCCTGAAGATTACATTCATTTACATCACATATACTTTTTTCATGAGTTTCTGATCTTTCTTCAGTAAAAGGCCCAACAGAAACTTGAGTGTTCCCAACGTTTGGCTCTGGACTGGCACAGTGACTCAACTCAGGCTCCTCTGCTGGTTTGTCATGCTCATGAAAACATGCATTTTGACACAACAAAGGCAAAAAGTTATGGTCTTCATTTAAGAGTTTACTGGCATCTTCCAGATTTTTAGTGGCATCTTGTAATTCTACACTCCTGTGCATACAACTGTCTGTGGCTGCAGGTACACTGGAGTCAGAGGGAGCATTCTGACTGTCAGGCAATCCTTTACTGCAATTGAAGATGCCTTTATCACAATCAGCAATGTTAGCATCCAGATTCTGTTCTACATTTTCTGCCTTGTTATCAATGGACTCATTTAATTTACCTTCAAATTTTGCCCGTTTTACACATTCTGCTACATGCCCAGCTATTTTGGCTGACTCAGTCTCTGCACTCCATTGATTTTCCACTGTGTGGAAGCAACATACATCCTGTTGTTCACCTTGTCTACTGTTCATGTCTATCTTATTCATATGCTCACATTCCACAGACACAGAAGAGACACTGGTTTTATTATCTGAAATTGAGTATTTGCATGCTTTACCTTTATTTTCTAATGACTCCTGTGAAACCTGACACTCTAAGCTGTTTTCCTTTAGGAACATTTCATCTGTGCTTGGATTATGTGCACGAGATGTCATAGTGCCATCACTTACCCCTGGTCTAGCTCTGCTCAAGTTACCAGCTTCCTCGAGCAAGTCACCTTTTAGTTCAGTGGCACTCACACAGATATCTTCCTCCACACCACTGTGGATTGCAGCTTCAGATGATGCCTTGATTTCAGTGCCACCTTTAATGTCATTTTGAAAATCAGAACCTTCCTCCAAGTTTAGCTGTGTTCCAGTCATGTTCAAAGCTTCACAGCTATTCAAATCTGTACCTGTGCATTTCTCTCCCTCTTTCAAGGGTTCTTCAAAACTGCTGTGATGTTCAGTAGAGTCTGGTGAAAATGTTTGGCCATCACCATATGTTCTTTCAAGTGCTTTCTTTTCCACATTTGAGTTTAATTTACTTTCTGCATCCAGAAAGCAGACTTCTTCATCAAGTTTTTTTACATTGTCCATTTTATGTAATTCTAATAATAATTTAAAGTTACCCCCCATGCTCTCTACCACCTGTTCAGGATTTATTTGTTCTACAACACTTGAGGGATGCCTAGTTAGTGGCACAAGTGGTACATCAGAATGATTACTTGCCTCAGTTTTTCTTGAATTAGATACTCTGGTGTTTAACAATACACTGGAAATACAATCACTATTTTTCACCTTTTCTGAGTTAGGGCTGTATTGGTCCTCTCCAGCAGCATCCACAGGCTTTATGGACTCACAAGCTGTATCCAGTGATTCATTCCAACTGGCAGCACTACCCATGGTATACATCTCCTCTTGCTGACTCTCAGGGATGATTTCAACAGGCATTTTTGCTCTTAAGACATCTGTTACTGTACTGTCATTATTTAGCCTATGCACCTGACACCTGTCAGTCAGTAAGTTATCAAAAGAACACCGGATGTCTAGGCTGCAATATTCCTTTGTATCCTTATTCTCCATGTTTGATCTACCATCCTTTTTATACTCAAACAGTTCTTTCTGTGAATTAAACTTGGCTTCCACTTGTGCCAATTGCTGCACTGGAAATTCCTTCCCTCTGTCTAGAGGCCATGCCATGGTGCACATTCCTTCATCAGTAACAGCTGAGTTATCTATGTCTGCTGCAGTCTCTTCGTGCACAGTAGCTGGCACCTCTTCATCCCCTTTCAAATCTTTGGCATCTACAACACAAATGCTGTAAAATTCTTTGTCTTTCACATTTTGACTGTTTTCTACATCAAGATAGGAAAATGCTGGAGACATCTCTCTATATGAACTTGAAACTTTCTGTAAGCTGTCACTCTTGCTGTCTTCAACATTTACTGTTGTTTCATTTTGCCTTGAATGGTCACATGTAACTGCATAATCCTCCAGAGAATTTCTATTTAAGGAAATTTCACTCTGTAAGCCTTTGTCTATGGTATCTGGTACATGTGAGTTAGAAATATGATCAAACAAGCAATGCTCTTGTGCAGCTCCATTTTCATTATTAATATTGCTATTGTTATTTTCTATATTGTTCACATGCTGACCATTACTATTAGGTTTTTTAGGTGCTCTTTTAATAATCTTATCTTTCTTTTCTTTACTTCTCTGCAGACTTCCGTATGTACCAGAGACTCTCAAGAGGTGACTAAAGGAATTAAAGAAGTTAAAAGGTCTGCCATACATCCTCCTAGGGCTCCCATGGGGAGTATTCCCCATGCTGTTATATGATGAATATTTTGCTTTTTTACCCCAAAAGCCAGATTTAGAATCTGATGCTGCACAATCATCACTACAAACATGTTCAATGCCAACTGTCACAGCCACCCCATTAACTGTCCTTCCCACTGTATGCAGGTCCTGGCTTTCCACAGTTCCAAAAATTGAAGATAAAGTTTTACTTATCCTTGACTTTGGTGCTTCCTCTTCCACAGATTTTTGTAACAAGCTGGTTTTCTCCTCACTCGTGCCGTTACTCAATTCTTTACTGAAGCAGCAGCCCATGTTTACTAAGCAGTGTCGGAGGGTCTTCTCATTGCAAATCACCTTCCCCTTTACACTAACTTTCTATGGCTACTGAGGAGGCAAGCCAACACCCAACTGCCAAAAATAGCACACTTTAAAACCATGCAGGGGTTCATATGTCATTGCCACTCAAAGTCCAAATCCCAGTTGCTGAGCAATGTTGCAGCATTTCATCATATACACTGTAATATTCAAGCCAAATACTCCTTCTAATGAGATTACTGTTTGTTTAGGAGTATTACTGAGTCTTATGAACTTCTATTGCTTCATTTCCTAAAAAGTTTAGTTCATCCAAATCGTTAAAATATTTAAATGACACCTTTCACAATGTCCATGTGTGTCAGAAACTACTTGTTTTTATATTAATACAATTCCCACCCTCTATACAAGGATAAATGCATTCTGGCTTTACATGTTTAAGTCTGATGTGTAGACCATTTTTTCCTTCTCCTCCCTTCCCCCAGAGCTGAACTTACACCACAATTACTTCTTTAGGAAAAACAGGCTAAAGATAGATAAGACCTCATGTATTCCATTGAGCAGTCATTGTACGTTATCAGAAGCTAATTCTGTTCCAAGCCTTTTTTTAAAATTTGTTATCCGCATGGAAAAAAAAAAGAATACATAATTCCTCAGTGACTTAGCACTGAAGGGGGCCTCAAGATCATTTACCCACTTCATGGTACTGTGACAGGATTAATTATACTTAACCTCAAAAAACACCTGTGTATCCTTTTATTAAAAATTCAGAAATATTTAAAAAATTATTTGACTGAATGCTAGTCCTTCCAAAAGTCTCTCCTCAGTATAGTTTTCATTATTGTACATACAGACTCCTTCTGACCTTGTCACAACTAAACCATTTTTATACACACGTATTTACATACTGAAATATTTCTATTACTGCAAGTTCTTGTAGCTGCTAATAAAAAGTGCTCCTGCTTCTTCAAATAGGAAAAGCCCAACAAAAGAGATGAAAATACCCAGCAATTTTTTTCTGCTCTAAACAGAGTTCTTCTTTGCCTTTTCATTACCTCACATCGCTCAGACCTTCTCTCAAACTCATTATTATTATTTCAGACTTGGACCCCATACTTCAGAGAGTTTACAGAGTGTACAACAACAGTGCCACTCTACTCTGTTACCTAAAAGATATTGAAAATACGTAAGAGTGTAAAACAAGACAGACTCTTAAACTCTATTTCAAATGTTCCTTCAGAGAAACATTGAACTCAGTGCTATTTTTCCATTGGTTGTGCACCTTACGGCAACTAATATTCCACTAACTCTGACCATAAAAGATTGCTGAATTGGCTAAAAAGTACATCCCCTCTTCAGCAACTCTGCTTTGAAATTGTAAAGTAAGATCAGAGGAAAACTGCCCTCCCCCCGCCCCTTATCCAACCCAGGAAGACTCCAAGTGCCTGCAGCTACACTGTTCCTAAGGATAGGAAGTCTGATGCATCATTGCTGCCATCTGCTGCATTTTTTTTGATTCTCCCCTGGGACAAAGTTATTCAACATGCTTGGATCCAGACTGAAAACTATGCCAAGTCACTCCTCTCTTTAGCATTCCCTGGAACTGAGAACAGGGAAAGGGGGAGGGAGTTACTTATAATAGTTTTTTTGAAGAAATGCCATAAGCAAACAATTTAACTGTTTTTAATGTCAGCTTAAAGCCACAGTAGTACTTCAAAAGTTCGCAACTATTCAGAGAACTCCCTTATCAGGTAAACAAATAGCAAGATTTTTCCCTTTGTGATTTAACCAATACTAACTCACGCTTTATAGAGAGGAGCTAAGTGTCTTTAAGAGACAGACCAGGGCAAAGTCCACTTTTCCAGTGCCTTAACAACCACTTCTCCTATCAACTAATGGGAAGAAAAGGGGTGAAGTAGTTGAGGCAAGCAGAAACTTAATCCAGTTTTCCCATACCCTTCTCATGTGCAAAGACACATTTTGTACTTGTTCCTTTGTTTTTATCTTAGGATTCCAGGGATATTTTCTATTTTAAAGCAGCTACAGCGCACATTCATTAAGTCAGATTTCTCAATACTATTTATTGTGGGATCACAACTTTAAAAAAAAAAGGCAATGTGAATTTAAGCAGAAAATACCACTCTTGTTATGCTACATCACCCAAGGAACCCTCTGGCTAAGCTTAACAGTGCCACCAACTTGAAAAGCACTTAAAGTTCATTCTCTGCTACTTGAAAGCCCAGCTCCACTGGGGAATAAATTTTGTTACTTTGTTTTGGGTTTTTTTCATTTATTCATGCATATTTTATCTCTGGTATATTTCTCATCTACTCAAAGCCTAAACAGGTCTTCTGTCTGCATGAAACAAAGTGCTCTGAAGCAGCACTTTCATAACCTGAACAATTTATTTTTTAATAGGTATTTATTCCTATGTCCTGCACACACCTACACAGAAGGCAAGAAGTCAACATGCTTATTAGCTAGAGTATCCTTATCCATCTTTCACTTCTCCACATACCTATTCTTTGTCAAGGAGTAAGGGTTCATCCCAGATATAGCCTTATAGGCATAAAGGTAAAAACATAATCTAGATTTAAAGATACAATAACACAAGTCAAAACAGTCCTTACAATCTACTGAAATCTAACCTCCTTTATTCTTTTTCTATAATGAAGTCATGCAATTGTTATAAGTCCTGAAGAAACAGTGATTATGCTGCACTCCCAGGCCACACCTGATGCCATGCCCATCTGCAGTTAAAGGAACAGAGAAAAGCAGCATCACAATAGACATTGCAGTGACACTACTGCAGGCTTCTGGAAACAGCTGATCAAATTGCCTAACTCTCCCTCCAACAGACAGATCATGGCTAATGGACTGCTAAGAGTTTTAAGTACACATTCTACATATTGAAATAATTAAACATGAGCATTAGAAGTTATCTATACGCATAAAACTATTCTTATGGCCTATTCACTTTTCTTATGGCCTTAATCTAGAATACCAGACAGAAAGAGCAAACATTGATCAGTACTGATCCTTCACAATGTTGATACTGCTCGTGTCCAGTTTAGTTTAATTCTCCCATTTCTTGTTTAAAGCTAATTGTGATCTCTTGAATTACTAAATACCACCTACTCATTAAACAAACTGCTGCTTAATATTAAATTGGCATATAGTGCTTGTAATACTGTATATTGTCAAATGATCTGAGGATTACATGGTATACTGAATTTTCACTGAGCACATGGTCCTGTATTAAACTAGTAAACCGATTTCCTCAGCTCCTTTTTATTCTGAGGCTTACTCTTGAATGGGCTGCAAAAGGATTTTTGAACAGCATAATCAAGCAGCAATAAGCCTGAGACACTCTTTTATAGTGCTTCCTAAGAAAAACATTTTTGGGAAGTACAATCAAGTGCCTTATTTAATGAATTTCTAGTTATTTTTCCCCTGCTTAGAACAACAGTATGATTGGATATATTTACAGTACCTATAAGGATTGACAAAAATCACTGTACCACACAGATTTGAACTGCCATTAACAGAAACCCATGGCAGCTCCTGGTAATTATTCAGCTAGGTAAAGAATGACTGATGCTAATATTGCAATCAGACAGCAGATTTAAATGGCCCCACCGTAATAGCCTGCACTGGAACACACATTTGCAGAACTTGCTGTCACTTGATGACAAGAATCCCTCCTAAAGATATTTTCAAATTTCCAGATCAGGTCTTCAATTTGACTAATCAAAGAAAGAAAAATCTCTGGTCCTTGGAAAATGCTCTGAGAGGCCACACATTCAAATATGAGCATGGCAGAGGAAGAGTTTAGGCTCAACAAGTGAAGAAAAAGACTGTGCATACCTTTAGCATTTTCTCAGAAAGAGTAATTGTCAATCAGAATACAAACAGTCTGTTGGCAGATGTCACCTGAAGTGACAAAGCCCACCTCTATGTTAAAGAAGTTGAAAAAATAGCATAATTATCTCCTGAAGCTAAGAAAAACATCAAAGTTAAGATTCTGCTAGTATCCTCTAAGCTATGTACCTCCAATGTGTAAGTCTAAGCTACTATTGACAAGAAATCCATGGAGACCCTCAAGATGTCAATTTCCTTCAAATGACTTGTGTGCAAAATTACTAAAATTCTGTGGGTAAATACTACTAAAATCAGCCAAACTCAAGAATGTTTGTGTTAGAAATGAACCATACTAGACTTGTGATTGATCTACATTACGCTTTAAATAGCAGTTTCATAGCTACTTCAATGCAGAAGAAAAGACTGTCTCCCTCACTCTGAAGTTAAGACTTTGAAAAAAATGTTAGTGAACAAATGACCTGTGTACTTTTAACTAGCAACCCTACAAAGTGACTGCTGAAGGGTTCCATCACAACATCAAAACTTGCACTTTAATTCAGTCACTACTGATTACCTATTTGACATTACTCACAGTAGAATGTCTTCAGTTTTGCTCTTGCCAAATAACAGAAAATGGTCGTAATTAGAAAAAATTAGTTATTGTTCAAAGAGAAAACAAAAAAATACTTTATATAACCACTTGAGGTTAAGAACTAGCCTAATACCTATTTTTACAGGATCTATAGAAGTGCATCAAAATTCCCCATAGAAATTCTCTAACTTTCTTCCTGAACAAAAGCATTTGGACTAGGTGTATCAACAGATCCCAGTGGAAAAGCACAGCCAAAACAGCTGGGAGCACAGTTCAGCATATTTCTTCTAAGTCTATTAAAAACAGACTCCTAGAGAGCTCACTAGGTGCCATAGCAGTATGGCCCCATATCAAATGTGCAATTAAATAAGGGTCAGCAAAAACTACCTATTTTTGCAGTCTAGCCCTCTGATCTCAAAATAATCAAGACACAAGAAATAGCAGGTGATTTTCATTTCACCTGAAGTATGTACTTGCTAAAGGCAATAGTCAGAATTCCAGAAGTTTTTCTCCTTCTGATCACATTTATGGAAAGATGGAAGTGTCTTAATGATTTTTGTTCGCTAACTC